CCTCAGTCTCCCACATACCTGGGACCATGGGTGTGCCTCTACCACACCTCATTTTTACTTTTTGGGGGAGGGTGGAGTGGGTAGAGACACGGTCCCACTATGTTGCCCAGGCTGGTCTCACACTCTTGGGCTCAAGCGATTCTCCTAAAAAAAGCTCCCCAGGTGCTGAGATCACAGGCATAAGCCACCACACCTGGCAAAAAAAGCTGCAATTCAAAAGAAGAAAAAAAAAGGCACAGTGAGAAATTTTAAAAAAAACCCGGTTGATCTGGTCTTGAGGGCAAGGAGAATATTGGGAAGAGAAAAAAACTGGCAGGTAATGATGGCAGGTTAACATTTGTCAAACACTCTGCCAAAAAAACAGCACTGGCCTAAATGCTTATAAACATCCGAGCAAAAGCCACACAAAAAAAAAAGCCTATAGGATGGTGACTAGGAGATCAGCCAGTAAAGGTCTCAAAAAAATTAGCTACTATGCACTGACGATCCTTTTGCCCCGCTTTGCAGGGCAAAAAAAAGATAAGGACATCCAAGCAGGGACATTCAGAGGGAACTACAGTGGCACAGTCCCCAAAGCTGGGATGCCTGCTGCCTTTGAGAACCAGCAAGACGGGAAAAAAATGGGCTGGCAGATGACTCAGAGGCTCACGGCCCAGATGTTACAACAAAAAAACTTAGGAAGGTTCTGAGCAGACAAGGAACATGACTTCTCTCTTCAAAAAAAAGAAGGATCTCTGCTGGCTGGCGTGGTGGCTCATGCCTGTAATCCCAGCACTTTGGGAGACCCAGGCAGGCGGGTCGCTTGAGCTCAGAAGTTCCAGACCAACCTGGGCAACATGGAGAAACCCCGTCTCTACTAAAAAGCAGAAAAATTAAAAAAATGTGGTGGTGCGTGCCTGCAGTCCCAGCTACTTGGTAGGGAGGTTAAAAAAAAGGTGCGAGAATTGCTGGAGCCTGGGCGGTGGGGGCTGCGTGAAGAAAAAAAGTTTCAGCTAGGGTTGATTGTGTCCCCCCTCCCACTCCCCCTCCCAAAAAAACGATGAACAACAGGGCCCGTCTCCTCTACTTCCAGCGATGACTTTAAAAAAAAGGGCCCAGCCCCACTCCCAAACGGACTTTTACATTAAGGCCACAAAAAAAATTTTCCTAAAGACTGGGCTGGAGAAAGGAGCGCGGGCCTGCGCGAGGGGAGCAGGGGGTAGGGGAGGCGGTTGGGGAACAGGCGCTGCCAGAGCAGAAAAAAAAACTCTGGGTTCTCCCGGGATGATGACCTGGGAAGCGGTGGGGACTTCCCCGATACAGCAGTCTCTAAAGCCGCCTCCTAGTTAAGTCATTGCCTGCAAAAAAAAGGAGCAGAGGGAGTGTCGGTTATGTTTTCTGCACGCCCACCCTGTAAAAAAAGACAGTGCTAAAAATGTGTAGCCCCACTTTTTAAACGGCTTCTTCAAAAAAAAGTGCGGTACCTCACGCCTGTCATACCAGCACTTTGGGAAGCCGAAAAAAAAAAATCACCTGAGATCAACCTGGTCAACATGGCAAAACCCTGTCCCAAAAAAAAACATAAAAATTAACCAAGCATGGTGGCAGGCGCCTGTAACCTTAAAAAAAAGGGAGACTGAGGCAGGAAAACCCGCTTGAACCTGGGAGACGGAAGAAAAAAACAGCATATACTGAGACGGTGCCACTGCACTCCAGCCTGGGTAATAAAAAAAAACTCTGTCCTAAACAAACAAAGGGCTTCTTCCTGCCCTTACCGCTGGCTTCTGTCCCTGTTGTGACCAGAATCATCCAGCCTCCCCCTAGCCTTCGTAAAAAAAGACTTTCTGCCTCCACTTCTTCCTGCCTCACCAACTTTTTCTCCAAAAAAAACCTCACTCCTCTTCCCTGAATGTCAGCGGCCGACTGAGTCCCCAGGGTAAGTGGCAGCTCAAGGGCCTTCTCCAGGACTGCGTTACTAGAGAAATGGAAAAAAATTGTCTGAGGTCTGCAGGGAGAGGGAGAAAAAGGACCACTTACCTAAAAAAAATCCGAAAATGTCCTCCTTCGGCTGTGGTGAATCCACAGAGGTATAAAAAAACCTGAGCCTGGAAGATTAATAAGGGGCTGGTTAATACAATCCACAAAAAAAACAGCCTTGTGCAAGCCCGTGGCAAACTCGGGCCCCAGGGCAGAGCAAAAAAATCTACCACCTGTGTTGGCTTCGCCCAGGGTGCTTAAGAGACACTCAAAAAAACCACCCCAGAGCCAGCGCTGCAGCTGCTGAGGCCTGGGAATCTGCGTCTTCTCGAGCGCCGAATAACATCTCCTCCCACCCCGACACACAGAGCATCAAAAAAAGGATTCAGGTCTTCGTGTGTCTACTTCCAACCTCTTTATTACCAGAAAAAAAGAGAGGTCCCAGCTGTGAGGGGTTTTCTTCTTTCCTTGTGTTTTAAAAAAAAGTCTTAACAAACCAACGGAGGATCTCAGTTCTCACTTCCAACCATAAGCCAGACGCATCATGTACAAGGGAGCAACGGTTTATGATCCCTCATCAGGCCGTTTGAACACAGCCGCTCCCCTCTGTATTCAAGTCTTGCATGCCCATTATAAAAAAATTGAAAACTACAGCCAATTATAAAAATAAGAATGATAGGGGCCAGAAAAAAAGGCTCACGACCGTAATCCCAATTTATGAGGCTGACGTGAGAGGATCACTTGAGACCAGGAGTTTGAGACCGGCCTGGGCAACATAGCAAAACACCATCTCTACAAAAAATAAAATGTAAAAAAATTAGCCAGGTGTGGTGGCATGCACCAAAAAAATCAGCTACTCTGGAGGCTGGGACAGCAGGATGACTTGAGCCCAGGACTTCAAGGCTATAGTGAGCTATTATTGTACCACTGCACTCCAGCCTAACTGACAGAGACAGAACTCTGTTCTACACAAAATATAATAATAAAATAAAATAAGAATTAGAAGTCACCGACATCCTACATAGCCACAGACACCAAGCATCCATTAACACTTGAATATTTTATTCACTCCAGTTCTACTTCCTAGTGCATAACTTAGGAAGCATATACCTTTAGGATAAATTAGGAGCTTCCAAATACAGCAGTTTTCTCCTTTTTTAAAAAAGGACTATTAAGTTATTGACTAAAAAGGTTAATTAACATAATTAACCAGCAACCATATTCCATCTGTATAGTATAATATGTTTTCACACTGGTATACATCCATGAAAATCAAAAGATAATGAATATGGCTAGGTACAATGGCTCACACCTGTAATCCCAGTACTTTGGGAGGCTGAGGCACGCAGATCACTTGAGCTCAGGAGTTTGAGATCACCTGGCCAACATGGTGAAACCCCATCTCTACAAAGTAAACAAATTAGCCAGGTGTGGTGGCAGGTGCCTGTAATCCCGCTACTCGGAAGCTGAGTAGAAGAATCGCTTGGAACCTACGAGGCCAGAGGTTGCAGTGAGCCAAGATTGCACCAATGCACTCCCAGCTGGGAAACAGAGGAGCGAGACTCCGTTCAAAAAAAAAAAAAAAAAAAATAATGAACTAATTTCCAACACTTCCGGTGTGTGAAATAATGACATTTTATTTTTGATAATTCTAAGGTTTCAGAAACTGTAGAAGATAGTAGAGACCATTCTCCTTTACTCTCCGTCACGTACAAATTAATATCTTACATGCCTATGGTACATTTATTAAATAAAACCCAAGAAATTAATATTGGCACATACTATTACCCCGAACTAAGGGCTTTATTTGAATCTCATCAGCCTTTTCCACTGATGTCCTTTTTCTCTGTTCACCGTTCCAATCCCTCCAGCATTCTCAATATTGTATTTAGCCAAATGTGGTTAATATATACCATTCTTACCACATTACTAAACATTATGTGGTGGAAATCTCTCAAAAACTTGTTTTAAACGTCATGCTTCACATTTCTTGATACAATTACTGTATTGCTTAACCTTAGGTTATTTCCAAGTTTTGCTCTTATGACCACTGTTGCAAGAAATTCTTAT